CGCTTTCACAAAATACCAATATAGATTTATCACTTACCACATTACAGTACCGATCAACGAATAAGCTAACCAAACTGTTTTTAAACGCAATGAATTACGTAGACGTTTTACCGTCCGAAACATGAATAAGGTGGAGAGCATGTTCATTAATGAGAAGACAACGGAACCAAGTTCCTGAAAGCTCAAAGGTTACTGCCGGTTAAAGGTGGATATGGATATCTTCGACTGAGTTAATTTCTAGAACGGGTTTTTACCTGAATGGGGACTGGGATGAGAAATGGCACCCAAAAGGCTGCAAATGGCCATTTTCCATGAAACTGTGGCACCGAGTTATGCAAAACGTTGTTGAAAAAATTGACTGTATCCCAAGTACAGTTATAACGACACCTGCAAGAAATTTCCTTTAAAAACTAAACAGTGAAAAAATTATTAATTACTGTTTCTTCACACAACACCGTCTCTTCCCTCGCCCTTCCCCTCCTCCTTCGCTCTGACCGTCAGTTCATGCTTCGCTGAGGGAAAAGCACGTAAAAGTAACCGGTCAAGTAACAACATGCGCCAACAGCAAGCAGCTACTTGTACAACTCATAGCCGCTATCCTCTGAGGTCTACGTCGAAGTAAGCTGGTTGCACTTTTGACTCAATGGAGCGCACCACGAATTAATAACAAATAGCGAGAGGGATCTCAGGAAAGAATCGAATATTTGCATCTGAACCTGCCAATTGTTTTATCAAGTACATCCTGAACTAATTGCCGATGAAAACCACAAGCACCAAAATCGACTGGAGCTTTAATCACCTTTTTTTTTTCAGAAATATGTTGAGCAAGCTACAGAAATTTCCGACTGATGAAAGAAAATTAGGCAGCTGGCGCAGCGATACAGCGCAAAGTAACGAGGCACCTGATCTGTTGACAATGGATGCAAATATCTCAGACACAGTCCATTCTGTCACTCGAGCCCCTCACCTAGATTGTTACCCTCTACAAAATGTTTAACATTTGCTACTAGTTTTCGAACTTAATCAGGTCCAGGCATGGTACTAAAAAGGCATGTACATGAAATCATGAAACTGTTTAGCTG